GTTTGAGCAGCAGGTACAGTGACAGGCGTGGGCACGGGGCTGTTCGCAGCCGCCCACCGCCTCTCTCACTCCGACACCCGAGGGCGCCGTTCGTCGTCATCGGCCCCTTTGATGTGTGGGGCGACTGAGGCCTTTCTAGGTACCAGGCTCGCTGGGCGAGGAGCTCCCGACACGCCAGTTTGTCGCACCTGCCGGGGAGTGGCAGAGCCCTGGGCGCAGCGCGGGACTGGGCCGTGGGGACGCGATGGCCCTGAGAGCACCGGCGCGCGACCGCTGTGGGTGCGAGCCAGGGCCCGGGGCCGGCTGGCGTGGTGCCTGCGCGCCTTGGCGTGAAACAGGTCATTGTGAAACTTCTGGGAGAGGTGGCGAGTACAGGATGGCGCACGGGCCGCTGTTAACTATGGTTTCCTCGCATGCAGGTAGATTGCATAGACTCTGCCAGATCTGACTTCTGTCCAACTGGAGAACACATGTGGTTTAAAAAATCAATTATAATTGCCCTGGTAGCTAATTTTTGAACACCACCACCCTGTACCTAACACAATGTCCCCGGTGCAGTAGATGTTCTGTAAATATTTGCTGAAGTTAAGGAATGGGTAGTGCTCTCTGTGTAATTTTGTGTTCTATGTAGTTTGCTCTTTCTGATCATAATTACAGCAAACAGTAATTAAATATCCAGATAAAGTCCAGGACACTATTAGGTCTAGAGTCTCAATAATACAATAAGATGAAAGAAAGACAGGACAGATGATGTTATTGTGTTTTCATTTATTTGCTGGATATTCTTGCATGTAAAGAAACCAGAAGAATTATCCTTATTTTAAAGTCTGCTTTGTGACACAAAATAGGGACAGTAGTTTCAATAATTTTATTACTTTTACAGTCTTCTCCCACATTGCCACCTGTTTAGAGTTTGTGAGGCTTTTGTTTTGGCTTCTACTTTAAATAGCCTCAAGACATTGTAAGTAAATAATATATATCTGAAAATTTGCATTTTGCAGCATATGAGCATTTTTTAATTCCATCATCTTTTCATTTATAAACTTACTTTCTCCTCTTCCTTGTTTCCTTGTGATCTACTACCATGCTTTTTAAACTCAAGAGTCATTACACCATCTAGTAAAAGGTCTTTTGAAATTTTTCTTTCTCTTTCCAAAAATCTCATTTCAGGTTTTCAGAGAATCATCTTCTTTCTTGGATCATTAGCATGTAGAAAAAGTAATACTGAAGCATGTCCTCTATGAGACATTTTTCTGACCCAAAATTTGTCAGATAGACAAATAAACCTACCACTTCTTACAGTGTAGTTCCTATTTTGACAGCAATTTATGTTACAGAGTTACTGGCAAAATCATCATCTGTGATTGTGGAAATAGAACGGCTAAACAATAAATGAGAATATATCATAAAGTAGTATTATTTTTCATTTCTTTCCAGTTTGGACACCCTAATTAGGTAGTCACCAGTAACTAATAGTTTTTTTTTTTTTATTTTTATATTTTTTTGGAGAGGTTTTCGCTATAGGGCGCGTGCGATCGCCAGACAGACAGAGAGACATAGAGACAGAAAGCGAGAAATCACCCCCCAGAGGGGATTGTCACGCCGCAGTCCCTTCTCCTCCATTCTCCTCCTGGGATCTTGGGCACGCACGCACACGTGCCCGGCATGAGTTTTAAGCCACCGGGTCCGGGACGCGAACCGCGGTCAACTACGTGGGAGTCCAGTGACATAGCCATTACGCTAACTGCTGGTTCCCACCAGTAACTAATAGTTTTACAAGGCAGTAAATATTAAAACATAATGATCTTGTATTACACAAATTGTGATTTCCTTTGGTGTTATTCTATTGCTATTAAGATTTCATCTTGTCTTCATTTTTTAATTCTTAAAAATTATATACTTGTTTAAATTCTCTTATTTCATCTCATTGCTTTCTTTTTTGTCCTACCCCAGCAGACAAAATCTCCAAAGGTAAATAGTTCAGATTTGGTGATACTAAGTTTAAAACTCTGGAATTATTCAAATTATTTTGAAATTATTTTTCCCCCAGAGTTATCTTTGTTTTCATTTCTATCAAAAACATTTTTTAACAAATTATTTTATTTTAATTTGACTGGGGGGTGGGGAGAGTGAGAAAGCAAGCCACCCGGTCTGGGAATCCAATTGCAGACAGCCATGTTGAAGTCCAGTGCCTTAACTACCACACCACCTGCCGACTTCTCAAATACATTTTAAACTTAAACATAGATCCCATTTCAGTAGGTTAAAGAGGTATTAAAGTTGAATATTTAACAGATCATCTATAATTTGTTGTCTTTTTTCCCTTCTATTTGCAGAAAATTCAGAGCTGTGTAATTCTAGGAAATGAAACATTAGTTCAGAAGAAGACAGTAGATTGCCTTACAAGTACATTTTGCTGTTCACCATGAAATTAGGAAAACCTAAAGGGGGTATTTCTCGGAGCTCAAGCCAAGGAAAAGCCTATGAGAACAAACGCAAAACAGGCAGGCAGCGGCAGAAATGGGGAATGACTGTTCGATTTGACTCAAGTTTGAGTAGGCTGAGAAGAAGCTTGGATGAGAAACCCTATAAATGTACTGAATGTGAGAAGAGTTTTAGTCAGAATTCTACTCTATTTCAACACCAGAAGATTCATACTGGAAAGAAATCCCATAAATGTGCTGATTGTGGGAAAAGTTTCTTTCAGAGTTCTAATCTCATTCAGCATCGACGGATTCACACCGGAGAAAAGCCCTATAGTTGTGATGAGTGTGGAGAAAGATTTAAACAGAGCTCAAATCTCATTCAGCACCAGAGAATTCATACTGGAGAGAAACCCTACCAGTGTGATGAGTGTGGCCGTTGTTTCAGCCAGAGTTCCCACCTTATTCAACATCAGAGAACCCACACAGGGGAGAAGCCCTATCAGTGTAGTGAATGTGGCAAATGTTTCAGCCAGAGCTCTCATCTGAGGCAGCATATGAAGGTGCATGAGGAAGAGAAGCCTCATAAAACCTGGGGTAAAAATATCAGGGCAAAAACTCACTTGGTATCTTCTTGGAAAGCTGGTAAAGGAAGGAAGTCAGTGACAGGTCTCCGCTAAGTAAAGGGCACTGCTTCAGCCCTCTTTAAAAATATGTAAGTAGAAAAATTGAAACTGTCTGCTTTAGAACTGGAGATGCTTTATATGAGAGCATTGAAATACTAATATCCTTCCCTAGCATGGAGACATTGGGAATTTAATGGCATTGGACTGAAAGAAACTACATGAATCCAGCTTTCCTCTTTATGTGACATGGAGCGCAGAACTGAAAATGTGCTTTGAAAGACTATAAAATCTGACCTCATTTGAAATTGCTTCCTGCACCATATTGACAAAAACCATTACATTTTGACAACACAGTTGTGAATGTGCAGACACACCAGTGATACTCAGTTTTAGGACTTCTGTGCAAAGAATAAGTAAAAAGAAATTTCCTTTTTCGAAGTTCTGCAGTAGATGAGAAGATTTTAAGTTTGTAAAGCTTTGTAGCATATTAACCATTGGCTTATGACTCAAGAGTCAGCATATTAGAGTGTATTCAAGTTCATAGATTTTTAATAAGGCCCGTCACTCTATGTTAGCTTTCTTGTATTTCTTTCCTTCTGCCTATATGGATAGCTATTAAAGGAGTAAGGATTTCCCTGTTTGTTTTGTTTTGTTTTTATTAAACCATATTCTTACTAAAGTATTATGGAATCCAAACCAAATTAGACCACAAGTTTCCTATTCCTGCTAATACTGTTCTTCATGATAGTGTTCTGCTGTGTCACTTGTTTTCCAGAAGTTGAGATGGATTTATGTTAATCCATTCCCATGTCTTTGACCTCTTTTTGCCACTCTCTTAAGCTCTGACAAACTGAGCCAGCCTTTTAGATCTACATGAATAAACAGGTTGTTTTTGCCAACAAAATCTTAGCTTGCTTCTTACTGATTAAAGATCTATAATTTACATGACTGCCTGCCATCAACACTGAGCTTTAGATAACCCTTGTTTTCTTAAATGTTTGTCAACAGCAAAAGTCATTTACTGTACATAACAGTGTATTGTATTTTTTTTTTTTTTTTGGATTACCTGAATTGTTTAAGAAGCCTACTAGAAACAAGTTTCTTAACTTCCATCAATGGGTGCCAGGTGTCAGACTTTCTGATCGACCTTCAGCTCAGGTTTTAATTTCTATTGAGTGCTAACATTCTTCCTTTTTTTTTGTATCTTTTATAATCATATCAATCCCTGCTGTATTAAAGACAATAACTCATACAAATAAAAAATGAAATATTTTGTATACTACTGCCTTCAGTTTATTTTTCTCTGGGGAAATTTAATGATTTAGACAATAGATCTAAAATTACAGCTTTTAGTAGGATCGTTTTGCCTGTTTGTAATTTCCTCACACTTGAACTTTGCCTCTCCTGGCCTTGAATTTAACTTGGTTTGAATGTAGGGTCATGGAAGATAACTTTGTTGTCAATAGTTTGATCCAACAGGGTATCAACAAAGTTTCATAGTATGAGGTGGTTGCAGTTAACTTTTTTACAAAAGATCTTTGACAGCTCTGTTGCAGCCAGGTTACTTTTTAGCCAAGGTACAGTGGTTGAACCTTTTGAGGATCTGTCATTACTGTCATTTATAGTAGTAGTGTATTTGAAATAGCTTCTGGCTAGGACCAACACTTTGCCTTGTTTGTTTGTTTTTAAGTTTTTGCCATAGTTCTGCAATTGCCACAGAGAGATTGTGAGAGGGAAAGTGAGAAATCATCCCTTCAGAGGGGATTGGCCACACCTCAGAGGGGAATGGCCACACCATTTTCCCCCTGGGATTTTGGGCACACACAAATGTGCCTTGTGTGAGTTTCTAGCCGCCAGGTCCAGGATTCACGCTGTGGATGACCATGTGAGAGTCCAGTGCCTTAACCACCACACCACCTGCTGGCCCCCCAACACTGCATTCTTAATTTTCAAAGATTTACCTATTTATTGCACACAGTTCTGGAACAGAAACACCTCTGTATATTGTAGGATTTTTTTTTTTTACTTTTTTATTTTATTTTTTATCAATAGATTTACACATTGTTAAAGTTAAGCAAATGCTCCAGTTTGTAATGTATTCCCAGTTTGCCTTGTTTTGCATTTCTTCATAGAGCCCTAAAATTGGGAGCAAATAGATGATTAACGCTAATGGTAGCCTTCTGTGGTAACTAGTGTGGTGCTACAGCTTTATGCTCCTTTCATGTGCGTTTTAATAAGAGAAAAGTCATAGCTACTATAAATAAGTAATATTTCACTACTGGAAGCCAAATAACTGAATCTGGTAGGCTTCTCTTTAAATACAGCTCTGTGTGTGAAAATATGCTGCCTCCTTTTCCTCGTTTCTGTGGGATTTCTATCATAACCCAGGTTTACCAAACTGAATTATTTTTGCAGACTTCTATTAAAACCCCCAGATGTTTTATTGGGGTGGAGAAACTCCAAATTTATTTTTTCTAAGGTATTGCCACATGTACAGCCACAGTTCAAGTCCTGAACCTGGTGGCTTGCTTTCTCACTTTCTCTGTCTGTCTCTGGTCAAATTAAAATGAATAAACAAAAATTAAATATTTTTTGAAAAATAAAGTATTGCTGAATTTATTTTTTACCCTGTACCAGTAAGTAGGTGTTGTTAAAAATCACGTGGCTTCCACATTGTTTTAATCATTTATGGAATCATTCAACAAATGAAGGAAAAAACTGATGTAGACAGTCTCAACTGTAAGGAATTTAGATTTTTTTGTTCGGTTGGTTTTTTTTTTTTTTTAGAGGTTTATGCTATAGGGGGCGTGCACTCGCCAGACAGACAGACAGAGACAGAGAGAGAGAAAGCGAGAAATCACCCCCCGGGGGGGGCGATGGCCACGCCACAATCCCTTCTCCTCCATTCTTCTCTCGGGATCTTGGGCACGCACGCACACACGCCCCGCGTGAGTTTAAGCCACCAGGTCCGGGACTCAAACCACAGTCAACTACATGGGAGTCCAGCGACATAGCCATTACGCTAACTGCTGGTCCCAGGAATTTAGTTTTAAATAGGGAATTCAATTGAAAAATTATGAGGGGACTTCAAAAAGTTTGTGAAAAAAAATATGCATTTATGTTGGTACCAAAAATTTTTGAAGTATATACATAGTTTTTTCATAATACGTATTTTTAATGAACTTTTTGAAAACTACTGTAAACTAGTAAATTAAGCATAAGGTGCTTACATAGAAATGCAAAGAAGGGCCCACTAACTTGTGGTTCTCAAGTTCAAGGAGCATTACAATCACCACAGGGCCTTTTCAAACAGATTGCTGGTCTACCCACCCCCAAGTTGTTTATTTTATAGGAATATGAAATACGGGCTGTGGCCAGGTAATTGGCATTTCAGGCAAACATCCAGGTGTTGGAGATAGGCTCATCTAGGACATACTGAGAACCGGGGCCGTCATCCATTATTGAGTGGTGTTTACGCAAAGTATCTAAGGTACATAATGCTAATTGTGCATAAGGGTAACAAGATTTAATGAACACGTTGGGCCCTGAAGTCAATCTTGGGGTTACATTTCAGTTAATTAACAGCTGGGCAATTTGAATTTTTTCTGGGTTGTAAATTGAAGAAACCCATGATTGGGTTGCTGGAGGAATTAAATAAACTAATACAGGTATCTTAGCATAGAACCTGGTGCACCGTTTAGAATTTATTGTTAACTTTAACATCATAAGAGGCAGAGACGCTATTGAATCAAATCTGAAATGGTTAGTACTACTGGAAATGTAAAGATGTGTTCCCTTTTATTCTGACTGAGTCAATACTGTCGGAGAAAAGGAGATACCGATAAAGGGCAAGAATCCTCTTAATTTTCTAAAGGAAACAGGAATCTGGGTTTTTGACATACCCCTTCAAAATGGAAGGATATAGCCACAAATAATATTTAGTCACCATGTTAGGAAAGCAAAATGTTCTTTGGTTTTTTTGAGGAAATAAAGGTTGAGCTCTGACCACTTGTAAAATGTTGGTAGAGACGGTAAATTGTGTTTTAAAATACAACATTAAAACAGTTGATGAAATACAGTGTGATTGCCATTCAAATTGAGGGCGACATTCAGATTGACTGGAGAGAGGAAAGAGGGGATCTTGAAAGGGATGATCTTTACACTAACTTTGGGACCTAGAAACCCAAAGTCCCCAGAATCTGGGCAGCTTAAAGGGAGAAGGGCTAAAAGTCCCCATCCCCAACACATCCCCATCAGAAAGGTAACACTAATTCAGTTTTGGCCAATTGCTGCTATGCAGAGACTCAGGTCAGGGTATGCTAGCTCTTTGGCTTTAAAAATGCAGGAATCCCGGCCTCTCCAGGCCCCGCGCCTAGACCTGCGGCGGGTCCTGCGCGGGCCTCCCGGGCCCTGCCGGCCCAGCGCCAAGGCGGCGGCTGGCGCACCACCCCCTGCCCTCTCCAGGGCGAACTTACAACCATAAGCAACAGAAAGAATCTTTAGCTATCTTAAACCAATTGAGAAATATACTGTATAGAAGGATTTTCTCTACCTATGGACAGTGAGAAGATGATGGTTACCAGCCCTGCATTACCTCAGGGAAGAACAGGAACTACTCTACCATTCTTAAGGAAGCCAGATACCCGAAGATAAGTCATGCTGCAGATCCCCACAACACCATTCCCGCTAATCACAAGATGGCTGCTGTGCCGCATCAACTGATGGTCATCTCTGCTTACCAGAACCAGTTTCCTGAAACTGTATTCCATGGAGACTCACCTACAGTTGCGGAACTGCACGAGACCCACCCTTGACCCAACCTTGAATGGAATCTATGTTCCCTATTGTTAAAAACTTTGGACTCGTGGCCCCTCTCCCTTTGCTCGCAGGTATCGCATTTTCAATGACCCCTCTGGAAGACAACTGTATATAGCAGAGATAGTGTAAACGGGAGAGGGGGAAAGGGCTGAGGGTCAAACATAGGATAAAAAACATATATATATATATGTATACATATGTATGAAAGTAGAAATGGAATATTATTGGTGATAACATGCTTGATTAAGACACTATGCAGTGTATCCTAGATGGGAAACTACATTTAGTGTGTTGTGATGATGCTCAGGGAATGAGTGTTAGGTAATATAATAAATTTAAAAAAAAGTTGCAGGAGAAAAAAAAAAATGCACATTTGATGACTCCAGTGAGCTGTATGGGCACAGCTGGGTACTACTTTATAGTATGTTCATTCTACTCACTGGGGTTTATGCCTAGGGTCAGATTTGGGTACATGTATAGGTATATGTCAGCTGTGCTAACTATTGGATATATTTAGACTAATTAAGCTCATTAGCAGAACAAATTGATGGGGGGGGGAAGGAAGGCATGGAGGGCAACCATGGATGCCAGGGACAATGGAGGAGGAAGATGGGACATAGCAGAGGGTGGGAGATGGGGAATCAGGGATGGCAAGACAAAGGGCAAGGTATGCAAGATGTAAGAATTGGAAAATTATTTGCTGAGAACATGTATGTTGATGTGCTTGATTGAACCAATGCACAGTGTATTTTGGATGGAAAATTCATTTGTGTGTTGTGATGGTGTATAGTGAATTAATAAAAATAAATAAATTTTTAAAAATGCAGTAATCCCATTTTTAAAGTTTGAGCCCTTATCAGTTTGCAACATCTGGACTCAGTTTTTAAAAATGTAAAGGCTGCATGTGTGACTATGTCTGTGTGTGTGTGACTGTGTTTGGGAGCTGCATGGGTAGAGGGGAGTAGCAGGGGTCCCTAATGGAACGGAAGCTATAAAGTGCAGAGGAAACTGCTCAGAGGACAACAGCAAGTAGCTGTTAGTATTGACAGTCCAGTTTCTCCAGGTTGAGGAAAGGCTGGATTTGGCCTCCAGGAGAACCTTAAATAACAACCTTAAGAGTGAAACATTCCAGTAAGATGGGATACATGAAGGATTTTAGAGTATGGGTTAAAAGGTGACGATCCTACAAGAAATAACCACATTGCACGAAAAGAGTCTTCCTTGGCAGAGAACATACCGGGGAATTGGACCTTCTCCCTTTGGGCCTCAAGGCTTATCTCCTTCTATCTCCTGCCCCAAGTGGCAGCAACTCCACACTGTTGTGTACCTTTGCTTGTTCTGCTTGACCTACCCCTACTCAGAATTAGGCCCCCAGGATGTCAGCCTTGCCATTTCCTTAGATACTCTTCCTTTAAACTGAATTGTAATCATCCATGCTTTGATCTCATTCTTCCTCTCT